GAGAACGCCTGCATCAGCGGCGCGGCTGGGGGCTGCCAGGCGGAGGTGGGCACCGCCACGGCGATGGCGGCGGCGGGCCTGTGCGCCGTGGTCGGGGGCACGCCGTCGCAGGTCGAGCAGGCTCGTCCTGTTTCCAGCCTCGGAGGGAGGCGGAGAGAGGAGGAGACGGATGAAGGAGGAGGAGGAGGAGGAGGAGGAGGGGGAGGAGGAAACGTAGGAGGAGGAGGAGGAGGAAGAAGAGGAGAAGGAGGGGGAGACAGGGAGGAGGAGGAGGAGGCGGAGGAGGAGGGCGGAGGAGGAAGGAAGAAGGAGGAGGGGGAGGAAGGCAACAAAAGGCGGGAGGGGAGGTAGGATGGAGATGAGGAGCAGACAGCCTCGTTTCCTCCCTAGATCTCCCGATTGAATGATTATTATTATTCTGCTTTCTTCTCCTCCCCTCCATCCCTCCCCTCCTCCTCCCTCTTCCTCCCTCTCCTCCTCCTCCTCCTCCTCCTCCTTCTCCTCCATCTTCCACCTTTCCCTTACCTGCCCCTTCTCGTCTTCGTCGTCCTCACTCGTCGTCCTCCTCGTCGTCCTCCTCGTCCTCATCCTTCCCTCCCTCCCTCCCTTTTTATTTCCCTTTTCCTCTCTTATCCCTCCCCTCCACCCCGGTGGGCCCACAGGCCCTTCGGCTTGGCAGCGTTCGCGGTGAGGCGGTCACAGCCCCGCGGGGATACCACTCATTTTGATAGTCCAGTTGATCGTCTTCCTCGTGTTCCTCCTCCTCCCCCTCCTCTTCCTCCACCTCCTCCTTCTCTTTCTCCTCCTCCTCCTCCTCCTTCACTCGTTTCTTCCGCTTTCGGGGTCCCTCGTCGCCACATGCCAGGCGCGGCTTGCAAGCACAGGTTGGGGTTGTGTCAAGCGGACAAATTGTGAGGTCAGGGTTTGGCGACGGCGCACGACAACGACGACGACGACGACGACGACGACGACGACGACGACGACGACGACGACGACGACGACGGGCGGCGGGTGCGGCGGCGGCGGAGGCGGCAGCGACGCAGGCCACGGCGGCGGCGACGTCGTGGCGGCAGCCACCGCGCGCTCAGCTGAGAGGTGAGGCCGAGCCCGCTCTCCCGACGGTGGGCGCGCACGCGCGCCGTTCCTCCGAGTGGCCCCGCGGGCTGCCCATGCCGTGTGCTTGCGTGCGGCAGGTTCGCGTCGTGTCGACCGGCGGCGACCCCGCCGCGGGCGTTCAAGGTTGAGCGCCGCCAGTGGCCCAGAATCGGCCTACATGGAACGATCGGGCGCTCCGATAGCTGTGTGCGAAGTCCGCTTATATCACCTTTCTATCCATATATCCTGCTACAGTCTCGGCTCAGGTACTGGAAACTGGTACCGGGCCGCTTGCCCGCGGCGCATGGGCAAAGGGATTGCTGCCTTCTCCCTAACCTTCCTCTGCCTACGGACATCTCAGCAGGTTCGACTCTTCGGTCGTCAGCCTACGTACACACTAGCCGCCGATCGTTCAAGGTTGAGCAACCGACGCGGTGTCAGAAACCAGCGCCATGGGTCGTCACGACACGAGCCTGCCGCACCCCTGCTCGGTGCGTGCTCCGCCGCCCGCGGTTTCTTCCTCCTCCGCCCTCCTCCTCCGCTCTCCTCCGCCTTCCTCCTCCGCACCTTCTCCTCGTCCTCCTCCTCCTCCTCCTCCTCCTCTTCCTCCTCCTCCTCCTCCTCCGCCCCGCCCTCCTCCTCCTCCTCCTCCTCCTCCTCCCTCCTACTCCTCCTCCTCCTCCCCTCCTCCTCCCTCCGTCCCTCCCCTCCTTCCTCCCTCCTCCTCCTCCTCCTCTCCTCCTCCGTCCTCTCCTCCCCTCCTCTTTTCCCCCTATTTCCTGGGTTCCTGCTTCCTTTTCTTCCCTGCTCCTTCTCCTCCTCCTATGCCCTCCTCCTCCTCCTCCTCCTCCTCCTCCTTCCTCCTCCTCCGTCCTCCTCCTCCGCCCTCCTCCTCCTCCTGATCCTCCTCCTTCACGCCCCAACCCGCTCCTGCCGTGCCCCACCTCGGCCCCCTGCAGTGCCGCTCGGCTGCCTCGGCCGCGGCTCGGTGCCACGCCGCTGAGGTTCCGAACGTGCCGTGGTGCCCCCCCAGCCTTTTTCTCTCCCTGCTCCTGCTCTGCACCGCCGTCCTTTGCTCGAGGCACAGCGGGGGCCCATGTCAGGAAACACCCTGCTAGCCTCCAGGGTGCCCTGGGTTTCTTGGGTGTCGATGGCTTTTCCATGGAAGGCCTGACATTTCCACGCCCAAAAACCAAGGGACGTCCTGGGGTTTCGGGGTCGGGTTTCTTGGGGAAGGTTTCTTGTGATCGGGCCCCTGCTGCATGGCCGAGGCACACGGCCCCTCATCCCTGGAGGGAGACCGCCAGCGGCCAAATCCGACGGATCACTGGGGGGGGCCACCCGGTCTCCGGATCCGCCCTGCTCCTGGGCGCTTTCGCAAGTCAGGCGGACACCCCCGCCGTGCTGTTCAAGCTCCGTTGCTGTCGACTTCCGCCCTTTTTTGCAGTACCTCTGCGGCAAGAGCAGCTCGATGCTTCCGAGGCGCAAATTCCCGCCGTACGCGACACGATCTGAGATTGGGAAATGTCTTCCACCAAAACGTATACACAGACATTCTCGAAAGTGCGCCACTGGATGTCCCTGAATACACTAAAGGAGGGGGGGTCCAGAACCCCTCCCCCCCCCTCCGCGCCTTGAAGGGGGGGGGGGTCCGGACCCCCCTTCCCCTCCCCCCCTTAAGGGGGGGGGGTCCCGAACCCCCCGCCCCCCCTCCTTTGAAAGGGGGGGGGGTCGGACCCCTCCCCCCCGTCCCCCCCCCTTGGCGCTGGAAAGGGGGGGGGGTGGTCGGACCCCTCCCCCTCCCCCCGCTTGCGCCGGAAAGGGAGCCGGGGAAGGGGGGCCTCTCTCGCTTCTGATTTCTGCGCCAGAGAAGGTGTGTAGGGAGTACGGAGTTGGCAGTAGGGAGCAGTGAGTAGTGAGTTAGTGCGTAGAGAGTAGTGAGTATTGGGTAGTGAGTAGTGGGTAGTGGGTGGCGAGTAGGAATCAGGGAGTATGGAGTGGGGAGTAGTGAGTAGTGAGTAGTGAGTAGTGTGTACTGATAAGTGAGTAGTGAGTGGCGGGTAGTGAGTAGTGAGTAGTGAGTAGCGAGTAGTGAGTAGTGAGTACTGAGTAGGGAGTAGGGAGAAATCAGTCGTGGGTAGTGAGTAGTGGGTAGTGAGTAGTGCAGTGGGTGGCGAGTAGTGTTTCGTGAGTAGTTAGTAGTGGGTGGTGCGTAGTGCGTAGTGCGTAGTGAGTAGTGAGTAGTGTGTAGTGAGTAGTGAATAGTGAATAGTGAGTAGTGAGTGGCGAGTAGTGAGTAGTGAGTAGTGAGTAGTGAGTAGTGATTAGTACGTAGTGCGTAATGAGTAGTGAGTAGTGATAAATAGAGAGTAGTGGGTAGTAGCAGTGGGTAGTGTGTAGTGAGTAGCGAATAGGGAATAGCGAGTAGTGAGTAGTGAGGAGCGAGTAGGGCGTAGTGAGTTGTGAGTAGCGAGTAGAGAGTAGTCAGTAGTGAGTAGTGGGTAGTGAGTAAGTTAGTAACAAATAGGGAGTAGCGAGTAGTGAATAGTGAGTAGAGAGTAGGGAGTAGAGAGTAGGAAGTCGTGAGCAGTGAGTAGTAAGCAGTGGGTAGCGAACAGCGGGTAGCGATTAGTGAGTAGTGAGTAGTGAGTAGTGAGTAGTGGGTAGTGAGTAGTGACTAGTGACTAGTGACCGGTGACTAGTGACTAGAGATTATGTAGTGACTAGCGAGTAGGGAGTAGTGAGTAGTCAGTAGTGAGTAGCGGAGAGTGAGTAGTGAATATTGAGTAGTGACTATGGGAGTAGCGAGTAGTGAGTATTGAGTTCTGTGTAGTCAGTATTGTCTAGGGAGTAGCGAGTAGCGAGTAGTGGGTAGTGAGTTATGATTTGTGGGCAATGAGTAGTGATTAGTGAGTAGTGGACACTGGGTAGTGGGTAATGAGTATTGATTAGTGAGTAGTGGGTAGGGAGTAGTGAGTAGTGTTTAGTGAGTAGTGAGTATTGAATAGTGGATAGTTAGGAGTGAGTAGTGAGTAGGGAGTAGGGAGGAGGGAGTGGTGAGTAGGGAGTAGTGAGTAGCGAGTAGTGGGTGGTGGGTTGGGAGTAGTGGATAGTGAATAGTGAGTCGTGAATAGTGAGTAGGGGGTAGCGAGAAGTGAGTAGCGCAAAGCGAGTAGCCAGTAGTGGGTAGTGAGTAATGAGTAGTGAGTACTCTTTGGGGCTGGGGTTAGTGGTTGGGGTTAGGGTTAGGGGTTTGGGTTAGGGTGAGGACTAAGGGTAGGGGTGGCGGGGGTCGGGTTCCGGATTCCAGGGGCGAGCGTGGCGAAAGGGGGGGGGTCCAGCCAAGGGGGGGAAAAAGGTGGGGGTCGTAACCCCCCCTCCCCTTTTGAAAGGGGGGATGGGGGGGGGTCCCCGAACGACGGATCGGGGAAAAGGGGGGGGAAGGGGGGGGTGGGTCCCCGACGACGGATCGGGGAATGGGGGGGAGGGGGAGGGGTCCCCAACGACGGATCGGGGAAGGGGTGGGGTGGGGTGGGGGGGGTTCCCAACCGCCCCCCCCTTGGGGAGATCCAGCGGCGCACCCTCGACATTCTCTACTGGATTGTGCCCGGGCCCCAGGGGGGAGGGCGGCGGTGTACAGATCACCGCGGAGGGCCAACGACTTGATGCACACAGGGAGGAGCACGCACTGTTCGCAGGGAGGGTGTTTGGGTACATGCTTTCGTGGCGTACAATGGGCCAGAGCACGGCGGACCCGGAATCTGGGCAGGCCTTTTCTTAGCCGCGGCGTAACTGCCCGCCCTGCCCCGACACAGTGTGAGGCTGGAAGCCGGGCCAGGGTCGCAGGCCTAGAGGTTGACACCAGCACCAATGTTGGCGTTGTGCCTCCACCGACCGAGGGAAGC